TTATATAAGCATACATCTAATTAACAGATAAGCTTATGCGCACGCTGTACACAAAGCTACTAAAGAAGATGCGCTAGAGCTTTCTACTAAATATAATACTCTAAGTTGTACAACCCTTGTATAGAGCTGCTAAATTAGGACTGTATTAGTTTAAGACATACTATAACTACTATAAAGAAAAGCTGCGCATGCACATCTTTTTATACAACCCCTACCTCTTAATTACTAATAAAAGAGAGCACACTTTTAGTATTACTAGCCTACAAACAGATAACACTTTAAGCATTATAACAAAGGATTTTGCGCAAAGAGAAGAGAAGAAACTGCAGAAAGTAAAGTTCTATGCAAAGGGTAAAACTATTCTAGCAGAGAAGCAGCCTATTAAGTTTAACAGTAGAAGGATTAAACTTACGCACAACATAGTAGTTCTTACTTAGAAGGGATAAGTAAGCTACTTTTATATAATTAACCTAAAGGACAAGGATGCTGCACAACAATATATTAAGCAACATGCAAGAGAGGCATACATTGCATCTATATGTTAACTAGAGGCAGCATTTAACCTGTCTATTGCTGCATAAACTATAGACCCTTTGCATAATAATATTAACACACTTAACACATAAATCTAATAGCAGATAAATAATAGTAAGTGCAGTCTTACCTTTCTACTATTGCAGCTTAATTGTGCGAAGCTGTTTATCTTTACAGATAGATTATTTGCTAACAACAAGGACCTTAGCTTACAGCTAGGATTCTTAATTGTATTAGGTAATAAGGACTGTACAGAGTAAAGCAACTACTTTAAAATACTAGGCAACATTATACACTAGAATTCTACTAAGTGTAAAAGAGTAACTAGGAGTGTCCTTACTAGTAAACTATATAGAATAGTTAGAGGGTTTAATAATGCAATTGCCCTTAGTACAACTCTACAGCAAATTATACAAACGCTTAAACTGCTACTAATCCTAGTAGTAATCTGCACAGATTTAAGGTCTCTGTACAATTGCCTTGTCAAGCTAGGCACTACTAGCGAAAAGCGACTCATGATTAACATCATGTCACTCCGCGAATTGTACAAGAAGAGGGAAATCGCTAAGATAAGGTAGATTAATAATAGAAGCATCTGTGGACTAGCTAGATCCTGTGCGCAAAGATGCCTTAGACTAACTAGACTAACAACGCCTTTGTATAAGGCCTATTTCTCTTTGTTTTGTTTTTTTTGTTGTACGCACTTATCTTTCTTATTATAAGGATCTGTCACTGTCAGCACTGTACAAAAAGAGAAAAGAGCCAGGGGATTGTACAGCAGGGCTTAGAAAGCAAAGGATAAAGAAGAGAAGAGCTATTTACATAGCGCAACTAGCCTATTCTAACGCACAGCATTACTAAGGCAAGTCCTAATAAATAGGGTAGAGTAAAGGCAGAACGTAATTAGATAGACCTACATAGACAGAAGGGAGGTAACGTGTACAGAAGGCAACTCTTTAGATAAAAAGAAAAGTTGCCAGTGTCTGTACGCAGCAGCAGCGTCGCGGCCTAGATACGAGCAATCACGCACGAGCAGGATCACGTATCTATGTCACATGATGCTTGTGCGCGAACCTCTGTGCGCGAACATCTAGATATCCCCCTTTTTCTCTGTACAGAGGAAAAACAAGAAGCAATCAACACTAGTTACCTAACACCCCTGTGCGATGTTTACACCGTGCAAACCTCTCCGTCTCGTACGCATTTGCTGACACCAAGTGCTAGCTAGCAGAGGGTCCATTCAACAAATATAGTATTTATTAAAAAAGCTTAATGTAACATACCTAAGACTTTTTAAAGTACTTAAAAAAATTAAAAAGCTAGCATACTAGCTAGACTTACTATAATTAATGTAAAAAATTTATTTTATCTTTTATGTTTTACTGCTAGAGCAATAGAATAAGCTTCTTTAAGAAAAGCTTTTCTAGCCTAGGCCTATACACATTCTAGAGACAGATAGTAAAGACTACTATAAAGTTAAAGAAATTTTTAAACATAAAGATTTAAAGGTAAAATAACAGTTTTTTATAAAGTAGCTTAAGTAGCCTTTTAAAAACTTTACTTAAAAACTTAAAAAACACTTTAATAACTATAAAAAAGTTTTTTAAAATTATTAGCTTACTTTATGTAATACATTATAATAAAAGTAATAGCTAAACACTACACTTATAGGTACCTCTTAGAGGATAACTATACTAACTTTAGCACTTACAGCAAAACCTAATGCAATCTAAACTCTATAATGTAAGAATTACTAAAAAAAGTTAGTATATAAATAAAAAAAGAATAAAGTAATAACTTATACTTTTTACTATAAAATTTTAACTTTATGTAGCTTATAAGGTTATAACCTAAAGCAAAGTGTAAATGTCTGTATTAAAGGTACTATCTAGGGCCCTACTAGACTTAGAGAGGTCCTAGGTAAAGTCTAGACTAGGTATTATCTATATATATAACAGAAACATCTTAAAGATTTCTAAAAACATTACTAGCTACTTTTTTAGTAAAATAAAAGTTTTACACACTTTTAATTTATTTATGCTATACTAAACTACTAATTTATAACTAGTAAGCTTACCTCTTTAGCAGCAGGTATATTTAGCCTATAGTAGTACTACTATTTTTTCTAGTTAGTTGCGCAGCTGTTTTTAAAAAAAATTGCCTTAAACTTAAACTAAATAATAGTATTATTTAGATAGTTCTTACTAACACTACTAAGACTACTTTAAAGTAAAGTTAGCTATAATCTAAATAACTTATAATACTAAGACATACTTTATACTACTTATAGTTATATTTCTAGAAAACCTAACACTACTAGGTATACTCTGCTAGCGTAAAGCCCTTAGTCTTATGCTTTAGCTACTAGAAGTATGCATTAATATGCTTTTTAAAGGCTAAAGTGTATAAAAAAACATCTTTTTAATAGCAAAGCTAAGCTTTAGTGTCTAAGTTAAGTTTTTAACTTAGGTTACTTATAGTTTTAATAGCGCGTCTATTATAGTTAAAAGCTTAGTTAATATAGTACTAAAGAATATTTCTAGCGCAGCAGAAGTAGGGATTAAGCTGTACATAGTTAGCATGAACTTAAAAAGCTTTAAAAAACTTACTTTTATATAGCTACCTGCTTTTCTATTAACACAGCCTTTATAAACACTAAATAGTGTGCTTTTTATACACACACTAGTATTTATAGCTATGTAAAAATTAAAAGCTAAAGGCTTTTTACTACTTTTTTTAAATAACAGCATAGTAACATAGCTACAGCACTATTTCTAAATAAGTAGCAGCTAAAGCTCTAAGTAAGGCAGAAGCTTATAGACATATGTAGAAATCTCCTCTTTAAAGCACTAGGCAAGAGATGTAATAGGCATAGTAAAAAAAAAAAAGTTATAGCTAAAAAGACTAGTTAGAGAGAAGCTAAAGTAAAAGTAAAAAAAAAAAGGTTTAAAAGTAGTAAAAATAGTGTTTTATACTTAAACCTACACTTACTTTTTCTACTTTATGTAAGGTCTAAAGTTGCCTTAAAGCCTTACTGCCTATAACTTACTTAGTATAAAATATTAGAGAAATAAGAAAATATATAAATAGCTTAAAGAAACTATTACTTATACTTACACTTAACTAACTAAAAAAGTAACTACTTTTAGTAAATAGTAATATATTAAAAGCATTATTCTTAAGCATTTTATGTACAGAGATATCTCTAAAGCACTAATTTATTAGTACTTAAAAGAACTAGTAGAACAACTTGCTTATATAGCACTACACCTCTCTATTTAGCACTTGTAACTTTAGACTAGAGCAGCTATAGATTTAGTCTTAGAAGCTTTACAGCGCTAACCTTAGAACTATTCTAGTAATACATTAAAACTTTAAGCTATTTTAAATAAAATTATAATATTATAAGCTTACTAATAACTATTTTTTTAATAAAAAAAACCTAGTAATTAACTACTACATTTAAAAAAACTACCTGCGCAAGAGCAGTGCATCTATAGATGCCTTATAGTACTTATAAGTACTAAAACTAAAACTTTAAGACCTTTAAAAGTAGACCTTAACTAGATAGTAAAAAAAAAAAGTTATAATTTTAAGTTACTTTTATAAAAGTAGGCTTTTTAATTATAAACTATCTGCTTTACTTAGCTTTTATAAGCCTATTAGGCTTAACCTAATAAGATAAGAACGCCCTATATTAGTAGCTACAGCGCTAGTAATAATGTTCTAACTTTTTTAGTTATACTTTTTTAGACATAGTTTTTCTTTACTAAGGTTTTCTAGAGTTTAGTTACTAGTAATAAGTACTACTTAGGCGTAGCCTGTACAGTCCCCACTGCAGGTCCGCCTGGGGCTAGTCTAAGTTACTATAATATCCTACCTATCTAATCGCAGGATCGAGGACGACCTGCAGAAGGAGGGGGGCCATGTCACGGTCAACTTGGACATGCCTCAGACTCTCCCTAGAGAGCCCTCGGCCTAGCCTTGGGCACATGACGTCCTGTCACGTGCCCTAGCACATATATATATATCCTCTTACGAACCCCTAAGTCTCCTCAAGGATTCGTCTATCAATACTATCCTGTACCCCCTTCTGCGCTTCACGCTTCCTGCTTCACAGTGCTCTCACATAGAGCTAGTACAGGTTAAGGTTAATCTTAGGACGTTCTCCTACGTCGCTACTATGCTAGTAAGCACTTATATAATGTAACTATTTAGAAGACACTTACTAGGCATTATAAAATTAATATGTATAAATGTGTATAAAATAATTATAAAGTTGTAAGTAGCTAAAGGCTACAATTAGGGATGTATAGGTGCAGGGTACAGAATTTTTAAATTAGCGATTGGTTTTTTCCCATCACCAGCTAACAGTCCGCCGTACGGCACTAATACCCTGAGTCATAACTTAGTTAACTAGGTAATGGCCACCGGGCCATCATGGGTCTTGGCCAGTCTTCAAAAGACTACATTTTCGCTGGTCACTTCCTGTGCATCCCAACAACATCCTACACCTAGCGTTTGAAAAATGTCTTCTCCGTCAAAGCGAAAGCCCAGTAGCTCACCACCCGACAAGGTCGCTGTAGCGAAGAAACAATGCAATGAGCCTCCACAACAACGAAAAGCGCAAAAATCCGAAGCAGGAAATCCATGGTCGCTGCCATCACCAAACTCCTCCCAAAGCATCGACGGCGCAGACAATCCCAAACCCGAGTCCACTAAGCCGCCGCCCACAACAACCACCAATCTGTCCCAACCTAGCGACTGGGATGTTGAAAGCACCTCGTTTACGGAATTCAAGCGAATCCGCGACATGCCTCATGAGGAGCGCGTCGCCTACTTTAAGCAATTCGGCCTAGATTATAGTATAATACGCCGATGCCCCGTTCTCTTGTCTCTACTCTTGCTGACATATTTGTAGGCTCCGACGAGTCAGAAGGCGACGAGCCGGAAGGTGATGAGCCGGAAGGCGACAATAATTGGGCTCCGGATGTCGAATACGAGAATTATAAGGAGCAGGTATGCGTAGCGAGGTGGGTTGATGGCTGCGGATGTAGCAAGATCGATTGAGTAAGATAGAAGTGTATCTGTTAACAAGATAGCAGCATTATTAAGATGAAATCAAACCATCATCGCATCTACGAGCCCTTTTCTTCCTCGTCTAATTCTTAATATTACATCCGCAGGCGCTTATCTTGCAACTTGCCGAGTTTTCATAATGGTGGAAGTTTGGTCCGCAAATGGGAGGAACCCACAGATGTCGACCTGGAATGCTATGAAAGGAAGGAGCGCTTGTGGAAATTTTTCATCTGACACAGTTGCAGCTGTAGAGCGACACGGTCGAAGTTTTGTAAACAAGCAATCCCGTTTTCTCTGCTCAGCAATTTACGATGGAGTCAACGACAGGGAAGTGGGAAAGGGCGAAAGCTCTAGCGCTCGATACTTGGCCTAAGACCGTCTTTACCAATTTTCTATACCTAGAATTCTTTGGACGCCGTTCGAAACTTAGCCCTTACGAGTTTCTGAAAAGGACCGCCGAAGAGGTTAAGGCCGATGCCTCGCTCTACAAAACACTCCTTGATGCAGTTGAAGAGGCGAGCGATGAAGACCTAGAAAAGATGTGGAGAGAAGGATGGGGAACCTGTAGCGCCTGGGCGATTTTATTAAGTTCACGACTGTCAGAGAGCCTTCAGGGCATCAATTTCGCCAGCGACGGTACGCACCGGACAGCATACACCGATGATAGCATTCTCTTCAACAGTAGCGCCAGAAACGCTCTGCAACTAGAAGATCGCAAACCCGTACGATGACGAGGCACCACCTACCTCATGGTAGGTGTCGGGAGACTAGCCCCGGTGCTGACGTATAAGGCAAGCAATAGTCATGAAAAAACGTTGGAGACAACGCTAAGATCAAAGTAGAAAAAAGGCAAAGAATACGACACCGAGATATTGAAGAATTGGCAAGAAGCTATTCGAGTATCTCTACGACAGTTCCTTGAGAACCCACAAACCGTTATTCTCTTTAGGTAGGCACCTTCGTTCTGAAACCCTAACACACTATACTGAGAGAGCATCGGTCAAGGAGCGGCAATCTTCTCCAGTTCGATGGCATGGTCAAGTGGATAAAAGGGTCCAATCAGATCCAGTGGTCGGAACGTAAAGGGTCAGATGAATTCGAGTGGCGGGCTGTCTTTAGAGACGGCAACCAAATAACGGCATATGAATGCGTAACTGAATTTGCGAAAATTTACTCAGAAGGAATCACGGCGGCCGCAATTCGAGCTAATCGCCAGGAATTGGAATCTTTTGTGGGGCACTCTTGAAGCAATCTATGGTAAGCCGAGACTAGAGACTATTGTCACGGGCTAGGCCCAGAAAGAAGGCTGGGGCTAAGCCCCAGCAGGAGTTCGACCGGAACGACAGTCAATATAGCAGTCAATGTAGCAGTCAGCCAAGGCGCCTGCGAGCGAGGAACTATTAAGGCCTTCGGCCGTGCGCAGTACTTCAACTCCGCACGTCACGACGGAGATTTCTTTCCCTTCTTTAGCTTTATTATACTTTCGTAAATCTATTTATTTGGACCCCACTCTCCCACTTGTGACGTCCGAACCACCAGGAACACTCTGCCCTGGCACATGACGTGCATCAACTTTACCGACCTCCTACTAACGCTCCAACAAGCTGTCTTTGCGACCGAAAAGCTTGGTCTGAAATACCTCTGGATTGATGCGCTTTCAATTGTCAAGTACGATGATTAAGATAAGGCCCTGGAGATTGATCGAATGCCGTACGTCTATAGTAACGCGACAATTACCTTACTAGCATCTCGAGCTCCAAGCGTAAATGATGGATTTCTACACGACCGAACGCCTCTTGGTTATGAGAAACAGGACTCTATCTTTAGACTACCCTACATCTCTCCCGCCGGGGGCGCTGGCAGCGTCGTCCTTGTGCCTCGAATCCGCGAGCCTGAGGAACCACTTTTAATACGAGTATGGGCTTTCTAAGAGAGGCTGCTGGCGTCTAGAATCTTATATTATCGCTCTATGCAAACTCGGTGGCTGTGCTATACTGCCCATAAAGCTGATGGCCTGGCGGAAAGAGTTGAATATAACGATATAGTCTAGAACGCCACGTCACAGGCAGTAGTAAAGCGCAATTCGTCCAAAAGTCTCACCACCTTTGAATAATAGAATCTTGTCATTCAGCAGTATACCTCGCGCGAACTCACTTTAGCCGAAGATCGACTACCAGCGGTTATAGGTATCGCGGAGAGGATGCGTGCTGTTTCTAATAATAATTATATGACTGGGCTGTGGAAGTCGACCCTACTAAAATCATTGTTATAGTTTTGCTATATATCAAATACTAGCATCACCTGTTTGCCTAGCTTCGGACCTTCCTAGTTATAGGCATCGGTGGACTATCCAGTACAGCCTTGCCTAGGCTATAAGCGCGGAGTTGTCGATGTAGTGAGATTCATCCTTATCAACGTCACTCTTAAAGATTCGAATGGTCGCTTCGGTCCAGTCACGTCCAGCAGTGTGACTATTAAAGGTCTAATGCTCAGCGGAACGATTGAGAATGAGCACAAAATAAGGGTTACTAACGACCGTCTTACTACTTTTACTAAAGCTATCCATGTCTAAAATCGGCTAGACAAAGATTTAGGCTCCTTTAGACAAGATCGATCTATCTACCTCCTTCATATCCAGCGATCCGAGAAGAACGAATGGTCAGTCAGCCTACTTTTAAGTCGTCGCGAGGATGGGCAGTATTCGAGAGTTGGCTGCTTCACATGCTACGCAGCCATTCTAGTGAGCCTAAACCCGGCTTTGTTTGTAAGTATACCGATCGCAACGGTGATAATAATATAAGAGCTGGATCCGAAATCGTCTGGGGTAGTCACGAGAATTTCCACTCTAGAGTTCAAGGGAGCCTATTCGATTGATACGGGCCAGGTATACGCACTAGGAGACAGCATCGTGTCCTAGTTCCGAAGCTTTTATGACAAACGGATGCCCTTGGTAAATTATTCATCTAAGAAGCGATTGATATCAACGAGGCTCGCTCGAGAATTATGCCTCTGGAACTTTACGAAGCAATTGCCTTTACAATGCCATTTGCTAGAATCTAAGGACGACGAGCTCACTCCCACGAAGGCAAGACTTTGTTGGTCAGCTAGGAAGCCAGGTTGCTAAGCATTGGTCAGATCCATATCAGTCAGGGCATGTCTAAGCAAGAATGGCCATAATAGGCATATTGGTCATATCTTGTAAGCTGAACACTAAGGAGGCAAAATACGCAGTTATCCGCCCTCCTAAATACAGGCGAAAATAACGCCAGAAGAGCGTCACAGAAGACAGTCAGAGATTACACAGATCACACACAGACGAGATCAGACAGATCGATCAATGCGTACCCGTCTCTCTCATAACCTCCTCCCTACCTGACAGTCAGACTTCACGACATGAAGCGAGCCAGACATTTGGCATGAAATCACCACAAGCGAAAAGCTATCCCACGGGGATAGACAAAAGGAATGTCGATCTTAGAGCAGACGGAAAATTCTCTAATCGTTGTAACCCAATACAGAGGACATTATTCAGTTCGCAGTGGTAAGTACGTTTATAAGAAGTACGGGATCTGCTGCTAATCGCTCTAGTATTGGGCCAATCTTAATTGCCTATAGCGGAAATGACTTACTAGCGGCGATCTAATAATCATCTTATATAACTCGGTAGACCTAACCAGGGGCCCCCAGCCCTACCGATCCTTGACTACTCGATTAGGCAAGAAAGCCTTGAGGTGGAAGACATTCTCGCTAGTATAAGGTCCTCTTTTCTGCGTGCCTCTCTGCCGCCGAGCGGCTACGGATGCGTCAAGTTCGTGCGTCACGACCGTTAACGCGTCTGCAATTGTATAATATCTTATCGCCGAACGATATATAATTCAGCGATCCGACAGCAAAGTTTCGATTCGCCCGGTGACGACCGGGTTAGTAGCAGTGCAAGGTCACGTGGGTGCAAGGATTGGGAGATGAGGCGTGGAAACCTGGAGGGTCCTATTTCTAGGACCTTGAGTGACGCTGAGCAGCCCTGAGCAAGCCCCGAGCAAGAATGAGCAAGACTAAGCGACAAGATGGCTTCGCTTACAGAAGGGGTCCTAGAATTGGGACCCTAGATCTAAGTAATAAGGAGATGGATTTATACGCATGGTGTCCATTGGAAACATTTATTAAATCTTCTACGAAGTTAGACTTCCAGTAGGACAGTCTATGAAAATAATAATAATAATAGATCGCCGAGGAGCGAGAGGCTCCGTGGAGAGACTCTTCGAGGAGAGAGGAGCTCTGTGGAGAGAATATTCGAGGAGAGAGGAGCTCTGTAGAGAGAATGGCTCCGTGAAGAGACTCTTCGAGGAGAGAATGGCTCCGTAGAGAGAGGAGCTTCGTGGAGAGAGGAGCTCCGTGGAGAGAGTATCCTAGGAGATACAGATTTCGGACAACCTAGTAATTCGTTCTCTCCAGCTTAAGAAGTGCACACATTCGGCACCTGGGAAATATCCATGACACACTTTGCTATTAAAGCCGCGTCAGCTTGTTTACATCACTATATACTCGTTAACTTCGTCTACTTCCTCCTCCTACAATTTAATATGGAAAGCGGACCTTTTTTATATCATAGGCACGAGATCCGAGGTGGTACCAGGTTCGGGCCTTCTAGATGCCAACACTGCCAACTGTTTGTGTCAATCCCGGCTTCACAACCTTAGCGTGACAACGGGATAGTTATTCTAAGTGGTCTGAAACTGGACCCCGCAGTAGATCACTCAATACAAAGCAAGTTGTTGCGCACGGTCGCATGAGCCCGTCTACCCGCCTCCGTCTGCACACTTCCACCTGCGTCTGCGCATAGAGACAATCAACGGTAGTTTATCAAACGGTTTACTCACTTCATTGTTTGCTACTTTCCACATCATTCAAATATGTATCTAGACACGTATATTATCAGATAGATTGGCTGCGAATTGAGAACCTCATGGTGTTCGGGAATCAGAGTTTTATACAAGTAATTGTGTCGTTAACCTCCGTCCCTACGTGGTGGGACGCCCCGTGTGATGGGACGACCGCGAGGTACTTTAACTTCTCACCCGCCCTCAATTAACAAACCTGCCTCTATATATTCCTCAGCAATTAACCCGCGATCTCTTGGTCCTCTTCAACAATTCAATGCATTTTTTTTTCATTTTTTTTCTCTAACTCACTCGACGTCCCGAGGGCGGGAGAGGGGGGCCCCTTTTCGGGCCCTCAAGCGCGAGTGCATAAGGTAGCTCACGGGGATTAGGGGAGAAGGAGTTAGAACAAAGTAGAAGGGCGCAGAATACGACGATGAAATCTAAAAAGCAAGAGCGAAATTTACGGGTCGCGTGAAGGTTGACATAAAGTTCATGTTGTCGCCAGTGTTGACCGATTTTGCACTATACAGAGTCACCATCGATGCCTTTGCCCTACGAAAGGGGTAGCATATGCCGCCGAAGATGGCGGCAGAACGTACATAGCTTTTCAATACATATGTATTATTATTTCCTTAACGTCTAACTTTTCATTTGAGAATCTATGACCAGCACTCTAATCCGAGAACCCGCTCATGCAGAGGCCCCGGAATCAGGCCCCGTCAAGCAGTGGCTGAGCAAGACTGAGCCTACCCTGGCCATAGAACTATTAGGTCAGCGTACAGCTGTGCGCCTCTGCCCCACTGCAAACGAACTTTTGTTCGCAATCTTTAACATCACTCGGGCTTCTTCAACAACGCTCCTGCTAATTGCAACCCTGCGCTTTCCAACCACTATTCCCATGTGGCATTCCAGTCCTAAGCGCCTATCATGTCGTCGCCGTCGCCGTTGCCGTCGTCCCCGAACATGTTCATGTCTCCCCACGACACCCCTAGCACTCAAAATCGACCTCCACAATCTACGATGCCTCTCCGCAATCGGTCACTCGGGCGCGATGTCCATATCTACGATGCCAAAGATCCCGCTGCAACACTTGGTGGTTTGATCCTCACGAATGGCGTCACAAATAACAACTTTTACTCCATGGTGGAAATCCTTGTCCTCTTTGCAAGCAGCTTCGAACTACAAGATGGAGATGATACCAAGATTGAGAAGAATGATGACCCGCTTCGGTCTGGGAAGTACTACATTCATGCGCCAAGTAATCCAACGTGATAGTCTCACCACACTTAAGCTAATTTTAGCTTTTAGATTCTTTCTCAATTTATGACGAGGCTTGGCTAGTTCGTACTATATCAAATGCCAGCGGGACTCGCGTCCAGTCATTCCGCGATGCCGTTCGCAAACGAGACGGCCGATGCGTTATATCTGGGAACGTGGCAGTTATGGCACAATTCGACGTTTGGGATGGCTTTCAGGCTGCGCATGTCTTCCCGATAGCCTACGAAGGTCATTGGAAGGATCATGGATACGACCGCTGGATTACCATTCAACCTGATAACGGCGGAGCCATTAACTCGGTACAAAACGGCATGCTGCTTCGGAACGACATACACCATCTGTTTGACACCTACAACCTCTCGATTAACCCTGATGTAGGTTTTCGCCGTACCCGCTGGGATCCGTGGCTGATAATGTTTAGGATAATTATAAGATTGTGTTCTTTGCCCTTGATGCATATGGTCTCGCTGGCAAACATCTTGACCAAATCTTCATCAATGACCCCCAACGACCTGTCGATCAGCTTCTGCGATGGCACTTCAGGCAGGCGGTCCTGGCAAACATGAGAGGTGCTGGAGAGCCCCGGTTCGAGCATGATTTTCCGCCTGGCTCTGATATTGTTGGTGACATTCTCAATGGTCCAAAGCCTGCTGAAAGAATGGAGTTTGAGCTGTTCAGTCGCCTGGTAGCTTAGGTTGAAATGCATGACATTTCTGCTACTCAGTAACTGGGAAAACAGCCGTAGAACATCTAATAACACATTAAGTTAATATATTAAGACAAATCCGCGATGTATTCATCACTTGCACTATACAGATTCACCACTGACGACAACGCCCTACGAAAAGGGTGGCATATGCCGCCGAAAATGGCGGCAGAATGTATATGGCTTTTCAATACAACCGTATTAATATTTTCTTCCTATACCTTTTCATCTGAGAATCCTTGATCAACGCTCTAATTTGAGAAACCGATCATGCAGCGAGGCCCGGAAATCGGGCACCCCGCTATACAGTGGCTAAGCAAGACCAGATGAAGCTGCCGCTGGTCCAACAGTAACAATAGTAGAACAATCCTTGCGAGGCTTGGCAGAGCGCTAGACCATCCTTGGGCAATTGCTCCGACGGCATCAATTGATTGACTGCAGGGTCCAATTTCGGACCCTCCGATAACTATCTGTTGTTCACGTTATCGTGGCGAAGCCAGGCTTGACACGAACAGTTGGCGGTGTGGGCATTTAGAGGGCCCCAAACTGGGACCGCCTCAGAGTCTCTCTCTCCAACGACTCTTTCTCCCTGGCGACTCTCTCCACGGCAAGTCTCTCTCCCTGGCGAATCTCTCTCCCTGGCAAGGCTCTCCACGGCAAATCTCTCGCCCCGGCGAGTCTCTCCAGCGGGTCCCTCTCCCCAGCGGGTCCCTCTTGGCGAGTCTTTGCTTAGGCAAACTTGCTTTTTCCTACCCATTCCCCGCAACGTTTCTCTAACTAGAGGAGCTGAAAGGCAAAGTGGAATGTTTTGGTCGCAAAATGCAGATTGGCATGCAAGCCACACGGAATTCTCTATATAGCTTTCAAGCTGTCGGCAGACTGCTGTCTTTTACCGTATTTCTAGCCTTTATTATGATTTTGTGGTTTCGCACGTGATTAACCTCGTCCGCGCTGTTTCCCTATTGCGACTATGGGTACAAACGTTACTATGTACAACCTCTTCCGCAACTAAACAGGCGGGTTTCAGCCGCTCGGCTGGCAGCCCGAGCTAACAGTGCGGGGGACTTAGTCGATTTTATCAAGTTGTATCATTACTATGTTGCTCTGCGTCTAGACGGCTATGCATCTTAACTTGCCCGAATATACGGGCACAATTACGCAGCGTCTCCAAAAATTAGGATAGCTCATTCTGGGGCTTTTAGCGCCTAAGATAGTACGAGTTCAAGAACAACAGGGTACAACCCCTAAATGGAACTGACTCTCGCGTAGCTTGCGTTTACAGCCTAGGCGCAGAATCGAGCCGCAAAGAAGCTTACGTTAGATATAAAGATTTCACTTAGCTAAGACTTACTCTCTTTATTTCTACAAGGGAAGATTAAGGCTATTAATAAATTAAGGAGTAGCTTTAGGAGAAGTTGCAGGGCATTCGTGAGGTTGCCGAGCACAATTTATCTTTATTTCTTACCTCTTCTATCCTATCTTAGCCCAATGTCTTCTTATATTAATACCTATCGGGATTATATTATTAAGGTATGCTAGAAAGTATTACTTTAGTGATTAGTTCTCGTAAAATAACGTGATTAATAGCCGCAGATGTATCATTTGAAGGGAGACGAACCAGTCCCTATCGCCCAAGATAATGATGTAGAAAATGCAGACGATTCCGACAATACTAGATTAGATAGGAAAAAGAAAAGACATTATAAATGGACGAACACTCACAGTCTTTATGCAATTACAGGAGGATTCGCACTCTCGACCAAAGATCTTAAACTAAACTTCCTGCAGGGCAGTCTAGTCCAGCAAACTATTACAGTCTCTAGACTCACCCTGTTAGCTAGGTGTAAACCTAATAGTATTCTAGATTTAAGCAAAGAGGATATTGTTAACAAAAGTAAAGCTGATGGCTTTAAAAAATTTGTTCTATGTATCTAGGCCAGTCGCTTTCTTATCACTACCATCTTCCGTATGGCGACAGGGTATACGATATCGCTCCTAGAGTTAAACACTTTCGCTCACTGTATCTGTGCCTTAATAGTATATGAATTTTGGTGGTTAAAACCTTTAGATGTCTAGGAACCTACTGTTGTTCCTCTGATGAAATGCCGCGAATTAGTGGCTCTTTTTTCAATGGGTACAAAATGCAATCGAGCTCCTAGGGAATTAGATTTATTTTAACACCAGCCAGAACGTAGCCAGGAACACCGCGTTAGGTTCCATAGCGATGCTGCGAGGCAAGACCAGGGAAATCTGGATGCCGTTCGTCTCCGACTCAGGGTGCCAGCACCGCCGGCAAACAATGCTGGCGAAGCTCCAGGTGCTGCAGTCAACGCTGCTTATTCCATTCTCTACAGAGGACAGACTCTGTTTGGATTTCGTTTTGAACCGCAACGCCTGGGGGAGATCTTCAAGATCTGATCTCGGTAATGGGTACAGTCATTCCAAAAAGTCTGTCCCATGGCCTGAGCGCTCGGCTGTGGTCCCCTAGACCTTGAAAAAATTTCCCCCACCCAATTTAGTAGTACAATTGTTTACCTGCTGTCTCCCTATCCACAAACCATGCCTGCTTAATTTAGTGAGGCTATTGTTGCTTGTATACAAACCTGTCTTAATATTAGGATGTTAGTTCCTTAAATTGCGAGGGACCTAAGCATATCTTATAAGCCTGTTTACAGGATCTATACTAGCTTAGATCTATGGGGCTGCCCGTATCCCCTGTCAACACTGAGATAGGGAAGACCTAGGGTAATACATAAAGGCTAGCTCTAGGTGGGTGGCAACTATCTTAGTCCTTCTCTTAGTGTTGTGCTAATGCTCTTATAGGGCCTACTTGCCTTCCTTAAGGATTGCCCTACTGCCTATCTTAACAAAATGTAAAACTTCCTACTTAATAAGTATAATGTAAGGGCGTTAGCTAGTACAATATATAATTAGCTATTAAACATGCAATAGTCTAAAAAGGTTATTTACTGTTATTCCTTAGAGCACAGTTTAGAGCTAAGAGATGCCTAGTGTCTCTATTAGCAAAGCTAGCATATAGACTAAATTATATGCCTTAACAAATCTAGATGTAACTCTTGTACTAGAGATAGAAGACACAAGTAGAGTCTTATTAGTAAAGACTGTAAAGTTTACAGCTTAATTATCTGCTTACAGAGATAAAGTCTTCTCCTAGCCTGTACTATAGATAGTTATATAACCTATATAATGTTTTAAAGTAGTAGCATATTGCAAATTTTTAAGAATTTTTTTAAGCATTAAGTGCTACCTCTCTGTAGCCTATACCTAGGGTTAAGGTTAGTTATAGTACTTAATAACACAAGTATTTATTAATTAGACTATGTAAGGGACATCTGCAACAGAGCTAGTGTAATACTAGTGTTTTTGCCTCTATATTTACCTAATTTTAACCTAATTAAGTTGTCCTTTACTATATTAAAATTATAGCTTAAAAGGAACTATTAGTTAGTAAATAACTTTAACAACTATAAAAACTTTCTTAAGCATGCTATACAGCAGCGTTGCTACTAAGAATTTAAAGTAATATTTAAAGCTGCTAGATATAGAGAATAAATAGTCTATATAATTACATCTTATTTAAGTCCTCTCTATTAAGCCTATTCTTATACTGCTTCTAGGCAGCCTTTAGTTCTCTTTTAAAAAAAGCAGCCTTTTTTTTTAGCTTAAAGAGAGTTCCTAGCTTAAAGTAGTTATATTTATTATAGTACTCTCTTTATTACTCTTTTATTATTATGCTTAAGTTCTTAAGTGTATTAAGATCTTAGTTATTCTTTACTAATATGTAACTTATCTGCTTAAGCACATCTACTATGTAAGTAAAGGTTAAGGGCTAAGCTTTCTACTACTTAAAAAAGCGCTTAAGGATGTTAGTATAGTTATAATTAGGCATCTTAAGAGGACTTAAAGGCTGCCTAGCGCGTAAGGCAGGCTAAGAGGAGCAAGAAGGTTAAGAGAACGTTAGAAATAGTAGTAATAATTAACACATGCTACGCAGTAGTTAGAGCGTCTCTAGCTTAATGTCACAATTGTGCACGAGTAAGGTTATAGAGCTTCACAGAGGTCTAGTTTAATTACCATGTAAGGTATTATAGTAGGTACAAGACATTGTGTAAGGAACAGGAAAGTTTAAAAAAAAATTAGTAATTAAATACTTAGCTTAAAAGTCTAAGCGCTTTAAGTATAAATTAAGCCTATTTTAAGTTTAGTTAGTGTTAAAGCAGTTTATGCTTAAGTTTATGTCTATGTTATGTTATATTTATGTTAGACGTGCACTAATAATACTCTAGTACACATCTAATATAGTTATGTCTAGGATCTAGGGAGGATACTGTAACAGTACCCCCCCTCTTATTAAAAAGGGAATTCTTTATATTAGTAGTTCTAGCATTAAGTTGTTTTTATTAGGGTACAAGTTTAGTTTAGATAAGTATTAAGCATAGAATTAAGTTACTGCAGAGTTCTTTTATAAAGCTTTTATAAGTTCTTATAACAGTTTATTATATCTAGTCTATTTTATAAAGTATTTATAAATACATTTTTTTTATTAAACTAAATTAATTTAATGTCTTTTATAATGTATTCTAGTTTATTATTTATAATAATAGGTTTAGGTAGTAGGTTTAGCTGTCTAGGTAAATAATTAGATTTAAAGGCTACTTAGCGCAGTAATAATATGTAGAACACAAGGTGCATCTTTATGCTGTTAGGTAGAATTAATTAGTAAGCATGTAATAAAACTATATAGGCTACTATAAAAAAGCTAAAGTTTTTTTAATTAAGTTTTTTTAATTATTAGTTTATTTAAATATTTCTAGTGTCTAGCTAAACCTTCTTGCTAGCTACATACATAAAGGTAAAAGTTTAAGATTAGTTTATATACTTTTATTAAAAAGCTTAAGCCTATATAAGCTTTTTATAAATATATTTAGATATATTTTAAATTTTATTAATAAGTCTATTTATATTTA